TTTAATTTATTCTTAAATTCTAATACCTAAAATCGAACGACTTAAATCTACTAATTTCATATTAATTTCCTCTGTCACCATAATTGCGAATGAGTTATCACGTAATACCAAATTCGGTTTATCAGGTGAAATAATGACAGTTTCATTGGTGAAAACACGGTGCAGCTTTTTAGTTACCAATAAACTGGCACGTCCTCTTTTTATTGAATTATTCTGCTCCTCCCGACGCGCAGAATCCCCTCTGCCATATCTCTCTTAACATCTCCGTACTAATAAATCCCGAGCCGTTCCGGCGCCCGGCGGAATCAGTACAAGCGCAAAAATAATCCGCGACACGGGAGGACATTGTAATTTTAAGCGGCCATGCTTTGTACCGGCGATTCCGCCTGGCGCGCCACGCAGTCATCGGAGTCTACGAACGATGTAATCCAGAGGGTCTATAACCCTGGAAGAATCTTGCTTTCCTGTACCTGTCTCATCCTCGTTACGCATACAAACGCGCGCCTGTTACGCGCGCGCTCGGAAATGGGAACCGCTTAATCCCGCCGTAATCCGACATTCTTTGATCGCTTTCTCCAGAGATTTGTAACATTCTTTTGTCTCATTCCCGAACATTATTTTCTTATTCCTCCGTTCTATAATACTATTCGAGCATTCCATGCAATCTGGTCCCCCCCTTTTTATCAAATGACATTTTAATTCCGAAAAAGTGTTTTAATTATTAGAAAATTGCCAGAGTCGCCATTTCTTTTATTAAAATTTTGTATTTACTGTCTAGCTCCTCTATTTTTTAGGGAATTAGAGTCTTTATTATTTAGAATAACAATAACGTAGTTATCATAATAAAGTATTATTCGAAAATAATTAATTTAATCGAAGAAGAGTCAAAGATTTTAGCAGAATTAACCTGCTTCTTCTGAAGCTTGAATATTTTTGAAATTTTGTCTAGGAAATCGTAAAACAGACTAAATTAATATTTTACTAATAAGATATGTTCATTGCATCGAGAGATAGCCAAGAAAAATAATTATAAACGATTATACGTGATTTATAAAATTGTTTGTCGGTGAAGGGTGGATGTATGAGTTAATTGTGAGTAATAGAAATGTGAAATGACGGTGGTTGAGCGAGGAATTTAGGATTTCAAGTAATTAATTACAAATTTGGGAAAGTCGGTGAAAATAGAGGAGCGAGGCAGACGAGATTTATCATGCTTCGCAATGCGTACTTCCAATTAGTATCGGGAGTAGAACCTAGATTAGCGCGGCAGATAGACGTCTAGAGTAACCTGGATAAGTTCTACGGCCGCAGAGATAAGAGGCAGAGTAAACGAGTAGATAGGTGCAGAACGATTAGATTGGAAAGTCACGGAGCTATCGGACTAACCGCACTACATGCTAGGTACACATGTAGTAGTATGCTCGCGAGACTTTGTTTCTTAAACAAACTTCAATCATTTAACGTCCACTCACCGACTGCAATTATTCATACCTTTATATGCAGATTTCTGATTTATTATATTTCCAGTGATCAATTAAGTTGTAACTACTGACATTTTAATAGATTACAATTAGACGGCAATTTCGGTAGAAATTAGTCCTAAAAATTATTTTTATCTTATTATCTTATTATTTTATTAACTTCTTATTATAAAATTATCTACTCACTATCTTATTATAAAATTATTTTTATTTTATTATCAGTTCTAAATATTATCACAGAAACTCCCTCATCTAATTTTTCATATTAACTCGAATTTCATTGTGGGAAAAATAATGTATATTTCTGTTAAATTTTATTTTTATCGTATTGTCTTATTATTTTATTAACTTCTTATTATAAAATTATTATAAAATTATCTACTCGCTATTTTATTGTAAAATTAATTTTATCTTATTATCAGTTGTAAATATTCTCACAGAAACTCCCTCATCTAATTTTTCACATTAACTCGAATTTCATTGTGGGAGAAATAATGTACATTTCTGTTAAAAATTATTTTCATCTTATTGTCTTATTATTTTATTAACTTCTTATTATAAAATTATCTACTCACTATCTTATTATAAAATTATTTTCATCTTATTATCAGTTCTAAATATTCCCATAGAAACTCCCTCATCTAATTTTTCATATTAACTCAATTTCACTGTGGAAAAAATAATGTATATTTCTATTACATAAATTCGCGTTACATAATCAGAATTAATTTTCCTATTCTGCTAAGAAATTTAGAAGCTGTGTAAAATTTTCCTTTTTAACCCTTTGCACTCGATAGGCGACTCTCGGTCGCCATTTAATTGGCTATCTTACATTGTCGCCATAGCGATGACAACAGAGCGCAAAGGGTTAATTTCATTAAACTTAACACTTTACCAACCGATTTTATTTAGCCTATTAATTAGCTTCTGGTCCTCAGCGCATACCCACCGATAATGAATCGTTCATTAATCGGTTGCCACGGGAAACAATAATTTGTTATTTAACCCTTTCGCTATTACGGTTGACTATAGCCCTTTGACCACGGCAGACTTTGAAACACACCGGCCGTACCACACGGGTAGGAATTCATTCACAATGTCCACCGAAAACGGCAAAATTTTTGGTAGAGATGCGCCCTCCGTGTCAGAAAAGCAAACCGTGTTGAGCGCTTATATGCGCCTTCCGGTGTCACAAAAGCAAAATTTCTGAGCGCGTATATGCACCATCAGTAGCCAAAGGGGTAGTCACTCCTGTCCTATAGTCAGTTCTGTAAATTTGACAGGTGTGCTTAGAAATAGGTACACGGATAGCGTCCGTAAACCTAGTGTTAATGGAGATCGATGGCTGGCCGAAAATCGAGTCCAGAGGAACTAGCTTCTTCGACTGTACCGGGAATGCCTACTTAGCCCAAGGACAATGGCCGTGCTACCTTCGCAGTGAAACGCTATACACGATTATTTCGAGCGATATATCGCCCCCGCGAGGCTGGCTGCTGGCAACACGGTAAAAGGACCTTTCCGGAGATCGAGATAGAGCTTATTGTCCCGGAACGACGCCCGGGCAGGTGTGTACGCTTAACAAATCGGCCGTCGTCCAGGCGAGACCGAGTACGACTTTCTTGCGCCTCCCTTGCTCGTCTTCCTCTCTCCTCCCTCCCCGATTTTCCTCCATCTCCGGCGTTAAATCGCCGTTTATACCCGCGGACCTGGAACGTATCGATGTCGCTGATGGAGGGCGTCTGATCTAAAGTATAATGAGAAATTTTTCCAGACAGTCATCGGGGTTATTATGGCTGACGAGTATATACTTCACTTGCTCTGACGGGTACATGCTTCACTTGCTCTCAGGAGTATATATCTGATTTGGTCTGGCGAGTATATACTCGACTTGGTCTCAGCAATATATACTTGCCTTGGTCTGACGAGTATATACTTCACTTGGTCTGAGGATTAGAGATTGGTTAATAGTGGGTGTCCCAAAATTCACGCAAGAAGTAATTTCAACAGAAAATTCAGATTTTGAATTAAAAATCGTTAATATTTTATTCATTCACGAAGTATCATCGGTATACTTAGTATATTGGTACCTTTCATTCATTAGCAATGCTTTACCGTATAAATGGCGCGAAATTCAAATCTTGCGAGAATTTTGGGACACCTTATATATAGTAGTCTGTTATTTGAATAATATTGGTTGTTCATTGATGAGATTTTTTAAATTCTAAATTGATGATCACAGTGGTTAGAGATTTTTTCTATAGTGTTTATGGTGACTTTTGTCTTTAATTATCTTGGTATCTTGGTATCTCTTTATGGTTGGCAATGCTTTACCGTATAAATGGCGCGAAATTCAAATCTTGCGTGAATTTTGGGACACTCCATATATAGTAGTCTGTTATTGGAATAATATTGGTTGTTCATTGATGAGATTTTTTAAATTTTAAATTGATCATCACAGTGCTAAAAAATTTTTTCTAGAGTATTTATGGTGGATTTTGTTTTTAATTATCTTGGTATCATGGTATCTTTTTATGGTTGGCAATGCTTTACCGTATAAATGGCGCGAAATTCAAATCTTGCGTGAATTTTGGGACACTCCATATATAGTAGTCTGTTATTGGAATAATATTGGTTGTTCATTGATGAGATTTTAAAAATTTTAAATTAATGATCACAGTGGTTAGAGATTTTTTCTAGAATGTTTATGGTGGGTTTTATTTTTAATTAGGCTAATTTCAGAGATAATGTTTCGTAGATCTTACCTATGAAATTATACAACTTTCTATTTTAATGGACAGGTGAGAAGTTCTGGTATATATAGATTGCACGATTATAAAACAGAGTATATAAAGAGTACAATAAATTGTTTGATATATATATAATTTTCCTGTAAATCTTTCTCTTAGTTTTCCAGTCTCCAATAGCAGTCAGTATAATTGAGATATAGCATACTATTGCGTATTACCTCAGTTGCTAAATTGACACCTGATAAATTAACCCCCTATGGACCGAATATATATTTTTCTTGACTACAAGAATTGTATGTAACATAAAATCAACAAATATCAACCAATAAATTCAGCAGTTTTGACAATTTTATTATAACGAATTCATATTGAAAGTTTGAATTAACAACGTTTGTACTATTGTGCCAAAATAACGCGCAATAGACAGACAAGATAATTTTCCACGCCATCTTGTGGAAGAAAGATCATAGGGGGCCATAGAGGACCTAACCTATCATAATCGAATAACCGGTAAATGAAAAAGAATTAGAATTTTTAAAAATGGACCCACGGGAGGTATTGTAAAAATAATTATAAATATATCCAAATAAAAATCGCGAACTGGAGTGATCAAGACGATAACGTTGAATGCAGTATTTAATAAAATATCCATACATTAGCATGTAACTTGAAAGTTACACGGGCCCATAGAGGGTTAATTTTATCTGGCACACACTATACAGAAAAATAACACCAAAGGTATCACAATTAAAATTTTCATGTCAAAATCCAGTTACCTGTCATACCTCTACAAATTAAAACCCAGGATAACCTATTTGCTCGCTGAACCAACGAGTCCAAGAGATGAAGATGAACCTAACCTAAAGATGTCAAAATCCAGTTACCTGTCATACAAATTAAATCCCAGGATAACCTATTTGCTCGCTGAACCAACGAGTCCAAGAGATGAAGATGAACCTAACCTAAATCTAACCTTAAATCTAACCCTAACCCTAACTCTGCTCTGAGCTACAGATATAGTTTCTGAAATTAACCGCAATTTTATATTCAGATCCGTAGCACCTTTTCCCGAAGCCATAATAAATACTCGGAATCACGAGTGCGCTCAGCTGACGAAGGTCAACGCTGGCGATCAATTAGGAGCGTGGCTGTTAATTAGCGGGGGAACCGGGTAATTGATACCATTCCGTAGTAAATCGCGATCGAATTAATTCCTCGGTATCGCCGGCTTAATTGGCCGGCGACGAATTAATCCTGCCCCATCGCGACGGCTGAACGGTACTCGGTTTTTCCAGATTTTAATTGGTTCCCGCGATGGGGACGCCAGGTAACCGAGGGAAGAAAGAGGAAGACGCTCGCTTAGTCTCGTGTATCGCTCGGCAGATGTGAAATTTCATATCGTATCGCGTTAATAATGTCTTCATGAATTTTCATCGCCTCCATTTTTTTCTCTGATGGATCCCCCGATCGAACACGCCGGTAAGACACGAATGAAATTCTTGCGAGCGAGAGTAACGTGGAATTTTCTCAATTCAGTGGCATGATACAAGCTATTGTACCTACGTTTGCAAATGTGAAATATTTTTATTATCACCCCGTATTGCTTGCTTTGTTAGTCGTCCTTCTTTCATAGATCGTGATAATTCCTTAAGGATTTAGATAGAAATATTATCTATACCTTTCCAGATATGTGACTATGATTATGAAAGTGGTCTAGGTCACTTATATTTGCTTCTGAAATATTAAAAGCTTCGGCCTTTAAATACGTTATAAATTATAAAATTAATTGCTATAAAGCTACAAACTTGATCTGACGATTCAATTCTTCACTGTTTTGTAGAAAATAAATAATAAAATCGTTCCTCTTAAATCCATGACTTAGACCACTTACATAATTAGAAGTACATATGTATATTGTAGAATTTGAAATGGGTTAGCTATTTGATATTTCATATGTTTGTCTTGTAAGATGACTTAAGTATTGTGTAGGATGGCGAGAACTGATTTTGAGACACCAAAAACTGACAGAGCAACAAGAACAGAATAACACGAACACAAAGCTCATAAAACTAATTTAACTTAGGAAAAGAACACCAAGATAACGCAACGAAAACGCACAAAGACGCACTCTAATTTAACCCTCTGCACTCGACGATCTTTTCGTTACGCAAACATAGTGATTCGAAGATTTTCTGCCATAAAGTCGACGATACTTTCAAAACGGCAAAGAAGTGCAAATTAATTGTAGGACGCAGAATTATTTTACCTCGATATTTTACGCGTCGTTGGACAATTTTAAATTCGAGATATTAATTAACATCGATCTTTAGAATCTAATTAAATGGCGACTGAGAGTGGCCTCTCGAGTGCAAAGGGTTGACTCTTTTTCCAACACCGAGCGACTCACGCTCGTGCTGGTCACGATTAATTTCTAAGGACTCTATTTTGGTCGTCAGGGGCCCTGCTTTTATGCTTTTCTTAACCTACGCTTCATCCCCCGTAGGGACCACGCAACTTAATTTTCCTACCCAAAATAACTTTTCCATTTGCTTCTAGAAAATATCGATCGGTTTATAATTTGTTATCGTTGGTAATAGCCGATTAGCGATTTCTTTCCAAATGGTGTCCTAGAATAGGGTAAATTTTAATTGTATTTAGTAAATGAATTACAAATTTGTGAAAATTTAGCGTGCTGATATTAACACGCTGACTGTCATGGCGGTCACCAGTGTCCGGCGACACTCATTCCTTAAATTTATATTTGCTTTATTCTAACCATTTTTTGAAAATGTGAGCAACGTAAATAAATAGAGAACTTTGAATTGTGGGACCGCCATGGGCCCACTGAGGAGACAGCGCCATGATGACCAACATGGCAGTCAACGTGTTAACCTCTCGCACTACTCTATAGTTACGAAAAATTACATATCGAAGTAGTATTTAATTTTAACCCTTTGTACTCGAGAGGCGATCTTCAGTCAGCATTTCATAAAATTTGGAAGATCGATATTAATTAACACATCAAATTTAACGTAATGTGACAGTGTGCAAACTATCGAAATCTAATAACTCTACAATTCTTTATTTACTGCTTAAAAAAGTATCGTCAGTTTTTCAGTAGACAATCTTTGATCTTCTACTCTTCTCTAGCCAAAAAATCGTCGAGTGCAAAGGGTTAATTACGCGTTATAAATATTGCAAATATTTTTCAGCAGCTGGGAAATTGGGAATTCTTTGGCCTCCAACCTCTGTGCTCCTGGCATACACGAGCGCAGCAACGGTGTATCATCCTCGTAAATTAAATTCGAATTTCGCGAGAGTTAACCGTAGTCCCGCCGAAGCCTGCCCCTCTGGTGATCGGGATCATGCGCGCGCCGATCTATCGCGATGCATCCGACCTTTCGTCGCGAGATAATCGCGCGATAGCGCGATGAACACTGTAATAACGGCGGGAACTTTCTTCTTGCACGATGCCGGTCTCGTTTCGGGCGATTTTGGACCACCAACGAGAGCGATCCTCTTTATCGTGATCGATTTATGGCCAACGTGAAAACGGCACTCCGTGGCTGAGGGAATGGCCGAACGCCGCGTTTAAAGCAATGTAATTGGATGTAATGGAGTGGGTAGTTTGTCTAATGCGTTGAAAGGCCTGATGCGGGTAATTGGACAAGGATTGGAAATCAATTTTATTGGAATAGCTTGCTATTTTTCAGTTTCATCGTGGCGGTGATTTATTGCTCGTTGTTCCTCCAGCGTTCTCAGTGGCGATTGTCGAAGGTTTACAAAGGATTGCAGCTCGCCCTAAGTTCGGTTCAGTGCGTTTGGAGAAGGTGGAAAAATTTTCTTTCAGATACATCGAACGTGCCAGTGTCCAGAGTTCCATACCAAGGATGACAGTGCCTCTCGTGGCGCGTCTTACGTGGTTACGTAGTCTATGGACTACGCGGGGAGCTCGAGTGCTGCCACCTGACGTCGAATTAGAGTACTAGTTATAATCAATTACCTTTGCACGGGGTTTCGCGTATTTCAAAAGCGATTTTTCTCTTGCACTGACAGTGCATACCACTTTGCTCTTAACAATTGTACCGTTGAAAGCACTTGCGGAACACACTCGCTGCGCTAGACAGTTTGAGGTTAGTTTTCGAGGCCCGTTTTATTGCTCATTCGCGCATTTATTGCTCACTCGACGCCTCCAATAGAATTGCCTGAGTTATTATTCGGATTTTTTAATTTCCTTGTACCCTTTGTTCGAAATTTGCACTGAAATTGCTCCCATGTTGAGAATTATAGGCTTCCACAACGCGGTGTCACATAGTTGTCAAATTTGAGTCTTTCGGGTGTAAGTTAACAAATAGGGATTATATTCTGACATTTACCCGGCATTGTAACCAGCTCTTTCGAATGTAGAATGATAACGATCTTGGCGTGTGCCTACTGGTTACCAAATGTACATATGCGCGAGCTGTGATCGTATCATGGATCATTGATCACCAGTCTACGTTTCTACTTTCTCACGCGAGCAATTAAAAAATTCAACCGAGTGTGGTCCAGCTGGAGTCATTTAGCTCAATAACTAGTATTTCAATCGCTATTGGAATGCTCTTTGATCTCCAAACAGTTCCTATGCATTCCAGGAAACTACTTTTCCATCTTAATTATGATTCTGAGTTTGACAACCAGATTTCGTGGACTGCCGTCACTCTATGTGTCTCAATCTTATACACCTTTCGTTTTCTTTTAACCTTGCGTTCACATTCCTCCTAGTTCCTGTGACATATGTATATCTTGATGCAAAAGCAGGATATTTTTAGTGGCCTGTTATTGTTAGCTATTTCCTGTCATTAAACCACCTCAGTGTCTTTGTCCAGTCTGGGTCCGAATTTAGCATAGCAAATATGGTCTTGAATTTTCTTATGATCCCTCCAGTACACTCTGTTGCAGACTCTGTTTAAGTATAGTGCACAACAGACTAGACATGGGTAACAATAAGTACCCTACAGACCCTAAAGGCTAGCACTTGACACATTCTAGATGTATCCTGCTTATTCCCTTTGGTATATGAATGTCCCTATGATCCAATTTTATACTAAATTGTTGATGAGTAGAAGTATTGGTGGATATTATAATACTATTTGAATCTGTATAAATTTTTAGCTAATATTGAGTTAATACTCATACCCTATTTTTATAATTGCATTACACTCTCACCAATCCACCCATATTCTTTCCAAGCCCCAGCTTGGACCGTGCCCTACACATAGCAGGCGCGAGTCATCCCCACCACTTCTGAGAAATCCCTCAGTCGAGCTCGTCTCTCGTGTTTATATTCGATGCCCGATCGAATGTCACTCGTCTAACGGTCCACGCTCCCTCTATCTCGCTCCAACTTTCTCGTGCCTCACTCTCGCCAACGAGCGAGCGAACCAAAACAAAGCGTCACCAATAATTCTCAGAAGCTATAATGCATTCGAGGAAATAAGGCACAGATGGTGACAAAGACCAGTAGCCTGTGAGAAGTATCAACGGAATAAATCAGACGTGAGGATGTAAACACACTGTGCCTTCTTTTCTCGAACATACATTACCTCCCCCCATTAGCAAACTCGACAAGGTCCAAGGTCCCATTCTTGTTTACCATCGTAACACTATCGTCCTTTGTCTCCCGAGTATTACGAAACACCCCATATAATCTGCAGTAACTTCGTGGGAGCGCGAACGGATGCCTTGCTGGAGAATAAATCATACCACGAGCGGCTGGAGAGAAAAAAAAAAAAATAGGGAGAAAAGGGGAGAAAAAAGGAAGGCGAATAGAAAACTCGAACGACAATGATCGATGAAGCGGCGGCGAAGCGGGCGCTGGTGGCGGGTAAGACAATGCAGGAAAATTAAAACTGTCCTCGATGGCAGGAATTGATTCGGTCTGCGCAGCCGCGGCGAGCAGGTGGCCGCGGGGTGGGGGCAGGAGGTTGCGAAAGCACAAAGTAATCTAGCTCGGAATCCCGACCCG